CCATTTTTGTGAGGTGGGGTGGGAGTGGTAGGTATACTTATTAATGCTTTCCTGCAGTGAATCAGAATCCGCCACCCCCAACTGGTCTTCCATCCACTGGTCTTAGTTCTTTCATCCGAGGGAAGTTTCTTTGTAATATTAAGAATGAAACAAAAGATATTCCAATAGCTATGACCTCCTTGAGGGCAGGCAGACTTCTGTATCTGTCTTTGCCCAGCAGTACCTCCTACACTGAGATTATTGAATTGGAATAAAATGCACAAAACCTTGCAAAATTTTCTTTATGCACTTTTTAAAAATTGCAGTTTAAGAATTTGATTGAGCTGAGGAAGGTAGAGAATGGCACTGTCATTTAAAAAGACTTTGTGGTATAGTGAAAAGAGCACACAGTTGTAATTAGGAAATCCTAGGTTAATATCCTGACTCTAGAAAATAATAATTGTGTGATAATGGGTAAGTCACTTAACCTCTCTGAGTTCTGTTTGCCTCTGTTTCATAAACTGTAAAACGGGCATGATAATAGCATCTACCTTATTGGATTGTTATGAGGATCAAATGAGATAATATATGTAAAGCTCTTAGCACAGTGTGTGGCACATAGTAGAGACTTAACAAATGCTGTTCTTTCCTCCCTTTATTTTCCCCATCTGTAGTATGGGAATAATGTTACTCATTGAGAGACAGCTGTGGTATAGCAAATAGAGAAGGGACTTTGGATCAAGAAACACCTGGATTCAAATTCTGTGATGGATATATATTGACTATATGCCTAGTCATCTCTTTAGGACTCTAAATTGTAGAACTAGTGCCAATCTGCATTAGTGAAGAGATTCCTCTCACAAGGAGTTCTGTACTACATGGATGAAATACCAAATCCAGTCAAAAAGCATCACTACCATGACTGTCACCAGCAGTACCCATTGTATTTACTTTACAGAGTTGTGAAGTTCAAATGAAATGGTATAGATATGTAGTACTTCATAAACTTTAAAATGCTTGATAAAATCAGGTATAGTTATTATAGAACTTGCTAAGGAAATGGAGATGATGTTTCAACAAGATTGAAGAGTATAGAACTGGAATGGACCATCTAGTTAAACCCTTTATTTTATAGTTGAGGAAAGTAAGGTAAAGAGAAGTGAATTGATTTTCCCAAATTATAGAGGATTAAAAGTATAAATTCCATACCCTTCTGTGACCGCCTAGATCAATTATATACCTGGGTTCACCCTTTGAGAACCATTGCTATAAGCATTTTGTGAGCAGGGATCATGTTTTTATTTTTGTGTTCCTTTAGTGTCTGATATAGTATTTGTTGAATGAATGATTGACTGAATGAACAAGTGAATTGATCAATGAAATTAAAAGATACTTTTATTCAGCTTAAAAAGGAAAAGGTTAATGGCAAGCTAATTTAACAACATTGTGAAAAGGTAAACACTGATTTATAGTATTCAAAAAACTTGGAATATCTATGACCCTGAAAATTGAAGAAGCACATTTTTAGAATGGATTAGAGGAAATGATACTTTACACTGGGTATGGAGAACCTGCAGCTTTGAGGCCACATGTGGCCTTCTAGGTCCTCAAGTGTGGCACTTTGACTGAATCCAAACTTCACAGAACAAATCCCCTTAATAAAATGATTTGTTCTGTAAAACTTGGACTTAATCAAAAAGCTGTACCCAAGAACTATGAGGCTGCAGGTTCCCCTGCTTACACTATTGGTGGTACAAAATACAGAACTCTTTACTTAAGAGGGAATATAGGTCAAGCATTCTATACTAAGTCAGTCTGTCAGTTAGCTAGCATTTATTTTATTTATTTATTTTTTAGGCAATTGGTGTTATAAGTGACTTGCCCAGGGTCACACAGCTGTTGAGTGTCAAGTGTTTGGTCTGAGGTTGGATTTGAACTCAGGTCCTCCTGACTGTTGCTGCCCCTTAGCTAGCATTTATTAAACACCTAATAAAGTCTGTCTGCCCTCAAGGAGCTCATAGTCTATTGGAATATCTTTTGTTTCATTCTTAATACACAAAGAAACTTCCCTCAGATGAAAAAACTAAGACCAGTGGGTGGAGGTTAGGGGGTGGCAGATTATGATTCAATGCAGAAAAGCACTAATAAGTATACCTATCACTCTCACCCCACCCCCCAAATATGGGCAGTCTTCGTTTGAAGGTCATGAGGTCAAGGCCTGAAAATTTTCAAAGGACTGAAGGAAGGAAGCCAGGGGCATTGTAAGGCTGATATGGAGAGAATTCCAAATGTGAGGGTCAAGCAGTGAAAACTGCTGTGACTTGAAAGATGAAGTGTCATGTATGAAGAATGATAAGAAAGCCTGTGTCATTGGGTCACAGACTATGTGGAGGAGAGCAAGGTGTAATAAATCTGGAAAGATAGGAAAGGGCCAGCTTAGAGACTTTCAACACCTTTGAGCATCTTTGAAAGCCAAGCAGGATTTTGTATTTCTTTCTGGAGGTAATAGGAAATGACTAGAATTTATAGAAAAGGGAGTCAAACCTTCACTTAGCAAGATCAGTTTTACAGGTAATTGGAGGGTGGATTGTGGTGTGGAAAGACCTGAGGCAGGGATATCCACCAGCAAGCTATTGTAATAGTCCAATTGTGAGGTGAAAACGACTTGCACCAAGATGATGGAAGCCATTGGAGAGAAGAAGGGATATTATATATTTGGAGAAGGTAGAGGTGTTTTTAGAGAAAATGGTCTTTACATTTTTGAGTCTGGAGTTATGCCTTTCTACCATATTTCCTTGATGCCACTTTCAGGGACAACATTGATCCAACTGAGTCTTGAATCGAATTCATTTGACCTATTTTATTGTCTCAAGAATTTAGTAAATGTCAATCTAATTATTTCAGGTGATCTCCCCTTTCTCTAGCATGTCCTCTGGCTAAAATATCTCTGTGCTGGACACACTGACATACCCATAACAAATGTACTATCTGCTTGATATGCATATTCAATTTATTTGAATATTGAAATTAGAAAACATTACTAGATAGACAACAAGAAGGAATAAGATAGCAAACCGAGATATAGCAGGCTGTAAGATATATAGATATAGATATATACACACACACATACATACGCATACACATATATACACATAAATGCATATATGTATACATATATGTGTTCATCACTTTCAAAGCAAATTTTATATATTTATATTTGAATATGAGAAGGCATCTTGTGGTTATGGGTAGAGAGCTGATCTCAGTGGTAGGAAGGCCTGGATTCAAGTCTCAGCTCTGACACACAGTCTTGTGACTGATTGTTGTTGAGACGCCTAGTCTGTCAGTGCCCCAGTCAACTAGATAAGACTGTAAGTTGTAGAATGGTTCTGGATTTGCATTAGTGGCAGATTATTTCCTCATTCAGAAGTTTCTTAGACTAATGTAATCAGAGGTTCTATATCTACCTCTCACTTCCAAATTACATACACACACACACACACACACACACACACACGCACGGTATATATTACTTCCTTAATTATCTTATAAAATCTCAATATTTATATTACAGCTTATATATTACTTATATTTATATATAAATATATTTATACATTATTTATAAAATATGTTAGATAATTTGTTTCCTTCTCACAATAGCCAATTAACTTTTCTTTTCTAGACATGTCAGCTTGGTTGTATAACATTTATATTGGATTTTAAAATTTCATATAGCATTTGTAAAGGTAAAACAACAATAGGAAATAGAAAATATGTAGGGAAATCAAAGCAAGGCAAGAAGGGTTTTACATAAATAGAAGAATTTTCCTTATGGGTAACTCAGATAAAAGTTGGAATAGAATCATATGATAAAACATAACCACTTTTACTTTGTTGAAATCAGAGATAGCTTTTTAAATAATTCCCAGAATCTCTGGAAAATGCAGCATAATACAAAATCTTGTTTTAAAAAGCATCAACAAAAACAACTTTTAAATGGAAATGAACAAAGAAAACATTTCTGGATGTTGTTTTTCCTCTTTATGTAGTTCTACGTTGCTGAAGAATCATGTGTGGCATTTAAAATTTCATGTCAGAATATGTGAAATTTTTAGAATAATTCAAATGAGGCATATTTTCGATAGTTATGATGGTTTTTTCCTTCCTTCTTTTGAAGGCTATATTACACACTTTGATACTGAAGTATGCATTAATTGTGCTTTCCTAATGTTTCTGAAATTCTTATTTGATAAAATACAATAGATGAAATCTTTGGGTACATGAACTGTTTATTTCATATTTGCCTTTCTATTCCCAGACGCTAGTAATACTGTGATCAATATAGTGGGTGCTTTGTAAATATTTGTGCAGTTGAAATCTATTGAATAAATACAATTTAAAAGATTATTAGACACATTTAAAATGAAAGACAAAAATCAATCAAGATCAATGAAGATTTATTAAGCACCAGTTACTGTGTTAAATGCTAGAGTTATCAATTCATGCCCTTCATGTCCCTATACATGCCTTTCCTTCCTTTTTTCCTTCCTTCCTTCTTTTCTTCCTTCCTTTTTTCCTTCCTTCTTTCCTTCCTTTCTTCCTTCCTTTCTTCTTTTCTCTTTCTCCTCTTCTCCTTTCCTTAGATTTTTGGAAGACTTTGGAAGATGTTCTGGATACACGGTAACAAAGATAATTGTAGACTTTTGCACTGGGTTTTGGTGGGGTTTTTTAGGGCATTAAATAGTACAGCTAGCATAATTATTTGTGTGTTGTTTGATTATCTGCAGAATATCTGAATAATTTACTGATTCATCACTTACAATAACAATGAATTTGTGATACATTATAATTTATTCATTTTTATTAATTATTCATTTTTGTTTTCTTATAAATATTGGCTATCATATTCCCAATAATGATGTCAACAAAAATGTCAAGAGTTAATGTTTAAATTATCTTTTATCAGAATAATTTAATTAATGTAGCATTTGAATATGACCCCTCCTTTTTTTCTTTTTCAGAGTACAAGTTGAATTTTATATGAATGAAAATACATTCAAAGAGAGGTTAAAATTATTTTTCATCAAAAATCAGCGATCAAGTAAGTAGTTCATTTAGTTTCTGGGTATTACATAATTTTGTTTCCCAAAAATAAAAAATTAAATTTTCTTTGTGATAATATTACTTTAAGGAACATCAGCTTGGTTTGTATTGTGAGGGAGAAAGGAAGAAGTCAGAAATGTTTGATCAGGTCTCTGAATCTTCTCCTTTCTCCTGATTTCTCCCAGAAAGTGGCAAAGTACAAATAATTTAAATCAAGAATAGCCAACCTTTTTGTAGTGGGGAGAGTTTGTAGGCCTGTGATCAGTGGAGACTGGGGTTACTAACTGCCCATGGAGAATGGCAGTGCTGATAGATTGAGAAAGTTAGGGAGTTGCTGCCTCCTATGCTCTTTGTGGTATAAATAAAGCAAAGGATGGTTCCATGTAGGTGATCTAAAATATATAAATGTTAAAAGATGTGATTCCATCCAATTTAATTCAATTTGTAAGAAGCCATTAAACATCAGTTGTGTGCCTGGAATTATACTAAGTACTAGAAATACAAAGGAAAAAACCAAAACAGATCCTGACCTATAGGAATTTATAATCTATTGGGAAGACCTGGGCTCAAATTCCAAGTCTGATTCATACTAGCTATGTGACCATGGGCAAGTCACTCAACCTATCAGTTTTCTAAGCAACGTTAAGACTATAAATTGAAGGAAAGGCGCTAACCTGTATTGGCGGAGGGGGTTTTCTTCCCCTGGGGTTCCCTGGAATTGTGTCTCTACTTCCTATTCCTGTAGTATTCATGTACTACAACTTGTTTAGCCATTCCCCCATCAACAGTTACCTACTTTATTTCCAGTTCTTTGCTACTACAAACATACCACTATAAATGATTTAGTGCTTATTGTTCCTTTTATTTTCATCATTGACATCCTTAGGGTAGGTGTCCCTACCAGTGGAATTTCTGCATCAACAACTATGGACATTTATTTTAGTAACTTCCTTTACATAATTCCAAATTGCTTTCCAGAATGATCAGACTAATTGAGAGTTTCCACAAGTTTATTAGTGTGCTCATCTTTCTACAACCACTGCAATTTTGAACTAATTTTTCCTTTTCTTCAATTTGCTTAGTTGAGGTAAACTTCAGAGTTGTTTTGATTTGCATTTTTCCTCATATCAGTGACTTAGGACATTCTTTTATAGCTTGTTAATAGTTTGTAATTTGTTCATTTCCTGTTATGTCTTGAGTAACAGCTTTTTGGACAGAGAGAGGGAGTTGAGAGAGAGGGAGACAAAGAGACGGGGGGACGGGGGGAGAGAAAGAGAGAGAGAGAAAGAGAGAGAGAGAGAGAGAGAGAGAGAGAGAGAGAGAGAGAGAGAGAGAGAGAGAGAGAGAGAGGGAGGGAGGGAGGGAGAGAATTGTTTATATGATTTGGATAGAAAGCAAGAAGGAAATAGAAATTAATTAACCTGTTATGTGCCAGGTGCTGTGCTAAGCACCTTACAATGATTCAATCCTCACAACAGCTCTGTGAGGTAGGTGTTTATGCTTCCTATTTTACAGTTGAGAAAACTGAGGCATACAGCTTAAGTGAAATACTAGCATCACACAGCTAGCAAATGTCCAAGGCCAGATTTTAATTCAGGTCTTCCAGGTTCTGGGTCTAGCACATTATGCACTGTGCTACCTACTTACTTGTGGGATATCACACTCTTATCAGAGATATTTTACACAAAAAAATTCTTTCCTAGTCAACTATTTCTCCTATAATTCTAGTTGTATTAATTTTGTTCATATAAAAACTTTTCAATTGTATACATATAATTGAATTTATCTGTTTTACTTTTACTGTAATCCTAATACCTTGTTTAATCATTTACCACCTAATGATAGATATGAAAGGCACCTGATCTATTTGTCTTCAATTTTTTTTTCATAGCACACTTTTATATGTATTTAGATATTTCATATTTTTATATAGATCATATATTCATTTTGCATTTAGTGGAGGGGGTATACTATAAGATAGTCTAAATTTTATTTCTGCTATACTGCTAATACATACTGGCAGTATAACCCTGGTCAAGTCATTTTACCTCTCAGTGGTCAAGCAGTTCTCTAAGACTATAACTTGCAGAGAAGGTGCTACTTTGTAAAGGTAGAGGGAGTTTCCTCCTTGGGAGTTTCATGTACCAATAAAATTATAGGACCAGTTTCTATCCCTACTAAGTATTGGCCGGCCTTATGTGGTCATGCATCCTTGTTTATGAAAATAGTCATTAAAAAAATTCATCACCGATCCAAATAGCAAATGCCTTAATTTGCTCCTTAGATAATTTTTTTAACCAAGCTTCTTAGTCTTTGGATTACTGCCTTTTGTTAATGTCTCTTGTTAATGTCAGTCTGTGTCTTACCAAATATATGCAAAATGACATGGAGCTCTCCTTCAAATTACAGCAGAACTTGAACAATAGGAACATTTTAGTTTTGCCTAGATCCACAACAGTAGCTTTGATTTTAAAATGTAACACAATGTGGTTATTTATTTTTTAATTAAAAGAAGGGAAAAAAGGAAATTATCTGCTACCAGAGCAGTGATTTTGATAGGGAATTTTTAATATGTTTAAATTGGGGAAATGCCATAAGCTTTTGTTTTTTGACAAGAAAGAAGATAAAAGAACAGATGGAGGAAAAGTAAATATACTTCTTTATGAAAATCCAGGCATCAAGTGATTCTTTTTATTATTATGATTTTGATTATTTTCAATAGTTGTGAAATTTTAGGCTCACTAAAGTTCTATGCTTGAAAATGGAGCCCACGTTTGAGGTTACCTGTTCTGAAAAGGAATTTGAGATCTTTGTAATATCATAGGATCATAGTCTTAGAGATGGAAGAGACATTCAAGGTTACCTAGTCCAGTCTCTTCATTTTACAGGTATGGAAACTGAATCTCAGAGATTCTGCAGGAAAGGCATCAATCGGAGTCATGATTTGAACCTATATTCCAAAACCAGTGTTCTTTCCTCACACCACAGTGCTGTTTGTCTTATTTTCAATAATATTCAAAATGCAGTGACCAAAAGCCAGGATCACTGTCATTTAGAGAATGTGGTCTAAAGATGGTAGAGGATGAGATACAATTAAGTACTATGTTGCCATTGGTGTTGTGCTATGGACTGATAATAAATGTAAAGAATACAGATCTTCATTATAATTATATATACAAGGTAGAAGTTTTGACATTATTTTATGTATTAAATGACCTTTATTACAAAGGTCATTCAATATTTTTAGTTATTAAAGCTCCTAGTGTGAGTTCTAATATTATGTGTGTGCACATGCATTCATGCATGCATGCATACACCCATCTAGATCTGTGATTTTAATGATTATCAGGAGCTCAGAGGGAGAAAATTCCCTTTACTGATGTAGATCAGTAAGTATTCTAAAATTTGGAGTCTTTAGTGTTACCTGGGGCCCTAAGAGGTTATATGACTTTCTCAGGGTCACAAAGCTAAGGTTTATCAATCAAGCCTTGAACCCATGTTTCCTGCCTCTGAGGTTAGTTATCTTTGCATTACATGTCACTCCTACCTCTTGAGATCTGACATAGACCTATCTCTTTGTAAATTAGTATTAATAGCTAGCTAGCTAGCTATAATATCCAACATTTATATAGTGGTATAAGGTAACTTTAATATGTTATTTAATTTGATTCTCCTAACAACCCTGTGAGACTGTTGCTGTTATTATCTCTGTTTTACAGATGAGGAAAATGAGCTGAGGGTCACATAATGAGAAAATATCTGAAGTGAGATTCCAAGTTAGGCTTTCCTAACTTTAAAAGTTCAGCATTTTATGTACTGTGCTATATATTCTGCTTATTGACTATATTAATAACTCACACCTAATGTACACTTCTTCATTTGATATTGCTTCAAGATCAACGTTGCTTTATGCCAAAGAGTAACAAGCCCCAATCTGGAAGCCATCTTTGTAGTTGCTCTTGAGATGAGTGTTGACTATCACCATGCTCTCCAACCAGTATGGAACAGGGGGACTGAATCCCTAAAATGCTGAATGCTAATTCTTCTTTGACCAGGGAGTGCATATAAATAGATCAATAGTGATGAAATTACCTGTCTTAAGGGAGTTCTTTATTATCTTCTTTGAGATCTGCTCTCTTATTTTAATTTTTTTTCAGTTAGCCTTATTAAAGATAAATTTTTTACAGACACAGATTATACACACACATGTGTATATTATATATATGTATGTATATATACATACACATATATGCATATATACATGAGAGAGAGAGAGATTTGATACCCTCAAACTACCTTATGTATTTTAATGCAAAAGCCTTTGAGGAAAATACAAATTTAATAAACATTCACTTTTACAACTTAAAAATGTTACCTCAAAGTTATTTATACCTAGAAAAGTTAAGAAAAGGTATTTTTGCATTATGTTGCCTGACATTAATTAACAGTCATTGCCTGCTTAGGGAAATCTTTTCCCAAATGCTATTCCCACTGGATGACTCAGATCTTACCAGATGCAGGAGGAGTCATTTCAGTTCATGAAACATTCAGGTGTTTTTCACTCAGTATTAATACTATATGGATTTTTGTTATCAGTAGCAAATCAAAGGCTTTTTATTCATGTGTACCATGCACTATAAGAGACCTCTATAAAGTCATCTGTTTTCCAGGGAGGTTAGACTCAGGATTTGGCTTTTGGAAAAAACAAAACAAAACACATGGATTCTGGTAAGAAATCAAATTAATAAAGATATGACACTGGGTTTGCTTAGCTTCCAATTTTTCTAGTATCAAAAAGTAGGATTTCTAATCCTAAATAGGTTATATTAAATACCGGACTTGATGTTAGACTTAGAACTTCAAATCCTGTGTTCAAACCCTGCTTCAGACTTTTGTTAACTGGGTGACTGGACAATTCTTCATTCTCATTTCCCTTATTTGTAAAGAAGATAACAGTAACATGTATTTTAAAAGGCTTATGTGAAGATTATATGAGTATATATATCTTTATAAATCTTAAAGCATTATATAAATATGGACTATAAAAATGATGATGATAATTATATTCAACATGATCAAGTGAATTTCCACAGTGTAGACAACTCAGAGAATTTAGCCTTAAAAGACCATGTGCACAGCCTCCCTTAAAGCATTCAGAGAAACAGTAAACCACCTGAGACGAACATGGATTTTATGTTGTCTAAATTCTGGGGTCTGGTAACTTTAGCTTTTATGTGTAGTTCATGTGCTCTGTTAGACTCATATTTTTAAACCTTTGGGTAATTGAAATTCATCCTCTCTGTAGAGCTATTCCACAAAAGTTTCTGAATATTTGGGTACTGTAGGTTCTAAATATCAGTCAATATAGATACTCTAGAGTTGAATTTTTGACATATTTCTTTCAGACTTTTTGGAATGGAATTTGAATTTGAAACAAACTAATTTTTTTCTTTTTTTTTTGTTAAAGGTCTAAGAATACGCTTGTTCAATTTTTCCCTCAAGGTATTAAGCTGCTTATTATATATAATTCGAGTACTTCTGGATCCTCCACCACAAGGAAATAAATGGTAACTATTTTCTTTTTTTTATTTGCCCTTGAAAATTGTTTCTGTGATTTCTTGGGAAATGAATTAAGTACAGTATTATAATTACTTTGTGCCAGCTGGAATTTAAGTCTCACAGAGAGGGAAAGTTTGTCTTTTGAAAAATAAATTTGATTTAGTTTTCACGCTTGCCATGACAGTTACTATTGTGTTTTTTCTTATATGTTTTTCATTATTTGTGGGTGTGTGTATATGTGTCTGACCTTTGATTTTATCCCTGTGGGGAACTCTCATTTGCAAAAATATAACTTAGCTCCTGAAACACTAATTTATTAAAATGACTGGCCCATGGTCACACAGCTAGTGCTACTCTGAGCAAGGTCATGAACCCAGGCCTCCTTGACTCTACTTCATCTCTGCTCTCTTGTACTTTTTCCTACTCATTTAATATAAGGTCTAAGAGGTCTAAAAAGGCTGAAGCTGGCTATCTTTGCTTAGTCTTCTAAGGTTCAAAGAAACTGAACTCTAGCTCTTCATACATAGATTTTTGCTGCTTCACAGATGTCCTAAATCCTTGTTAACTTGAAAGAGCCAAAGATCTTAAGGGTCCTTGAGCCAATATGTGATTAACCTATCTCCACTTCCAAGGGCTCCTCTTCACTGCTGTTCTCATCATTGTAGCTGCTCTCCACAGGGTGGGTTCCTGTCCTTTGAAAAGTTCAAGCCCAATCTTTGCTAGTCTTATTTATATCTTTATATGCTTAAGTTCATGCCCACTGCCCTTTAGCTCAATTCTAGTTGTACCTTTAGTTACCTCACTGTACTGTTTCTGACCCCTCATTTCTAAGCTGGGCATAGAAGAGATACATAAAATATCTTCATCTCACTCTTAATATGAGTATTAGCATTACAGAATTAGATTTATTATTGGAACTAAACTCCCCTACTCACATCATTTTACAGATGAATCTAAAGCCCTAGGAGTTGTGTTAAGTTAAGAAATTAAGCCCCGGATCACAGTCAGCTTTGTTTTATTTTTTCCCCGCTCTTGTCATTCTGGCCTTAATCAGTTTAAATGAATCCCAAACTAGGAAACCTAAAGGATATGAATATTTTGGACTTCTTAATAAGATAAGCTGGGCCTTTTAGAGCATAAGTTTCTTGAGTGTAGGGACTGTAAGTTGTTTGTTTTTTTTAAATCATTATATTCCCCAGTACCAAGCAAAAAGTCTCACCTAATAGCAGGTATTCAGTGCCAGTCTGGTGAATTGAATTGGATCTCTTCACCTAGGTCTTTGGATTTACTTTGTATCTTTTCATCTATTAAATGACAGGTAGTTCTTATTCTCTTCTTAAATTAGCAAGTTGTGGTTTATGCAGTGTAAATTAGTGCTCTTTTCTGATTCTCCTCATATCTGTTTGATCATTCTTTCTCAGGGTTTGTTAAATCATTGTCTATGTCCTCCTGATATGATTATACCAGACCTACTTACTCTCTCTCTCTCTCTCTCTCTCTCTCTCTCTCTCTCTCTCTCTCTATTTGTCTCTCCTCCATCCCCTCTCCTCTCTTTCTCTCTTCTCTCTCTTTGATGATCTCATAGACTTCCTTGGATTCATCTATCATCCCTATGCAGATGATTTGCAAACCTGCATATCCAGTCTTCAGTTCTCTTAAGTTCTGGTCTAATATCAACAATTGGTTATTGGACAGCTTTACCTGGATGCCTCATAAGCATCTCCCATGAAAGAAGTGCTAGATTTGGAGTCAGTGGAATTTTGGTTAAATTCTGTTGTGCATTAATTCTATAATAAAGAGGCAAGTCAACTCTTTGTATTTCACTTTATTTGTAAAATTAGGTGTTAAGACTAGGGTCCCTTCCAGTACCAATCCTATGATCTTATATCTTTTATAAGAACTAATTTTGTTTCCTTTTCTTAAAACTTCCTTGTTCCTATCAAGGGTGCCACCTAGGTTCATAACCTCACATACAACTTTGTTCTCCCTTACTCTGCTATATCGTCATTGCTAGTACTCACTGATTCTAATTCCAGGGCATCTCTTTCATATATCCCCTTCTCTCCCTTGTGACATTTTATCTGGAGTCTAGACTCTAGACTATTGCAGTAGCTTTCTAACTGGTCTCCTTGCATCCAGTCTTATCCGCCACATAGATGCTAAAGCATAGGTCTGACCATGTTGCCCCCTTGAACAGTAAGCCCTAGTAACTCCCTGGTACCTCTAGATTAAAAATGAATTCCTAATTTTGTCTCTTTAAAGTTCTTCCCAATAGGGTTCCAGCCTCTCTTTCTAGGTTGATTCCTCATTATTTCTATTCATGTAGTCTGTGCTCCAGCTAAACTAGATTATTTGTTTCCTTTATATGAATTATATTTCATTATCTGCTCCCAAGGTTTCATACAGCCTGTTTTCCATGCCTGGAATGTTCTTCCTCCTCACCTGCTTTTCTTGGAATTTCTAATTCTCTTCAGGGCTTAGCTCTAATACTGCCTCCTCTGTGAAGCCATTTTTAATTAGCATCTTCCCTGCCCCCAAAATAATTTTGTATCTGTTTGGATTTACTTATCTGTGTATATGTTGTTGCTCTCAAGTGGAATGAAAGGTGCTTGAGGGCAGGGGCTACATCATTTTTGTCTTTGTAATCAGAGGCCCTAGTACAGTAGTGGTAAATTACAAGCACTTGTATGCTTGTTGAATTGAATATAACTGAATCAATTATTAGTAAAGATTCTTGATAACTGATTTCAAATTAAATATTTTATAATAAACCCATTTGTATGACATTCCTCCATGAAATAGCTTTTTTATATGAAAAATTTCAGTGAAATAATTGTACCATTTTTTTCTGCTAGTCAGTCCATCAATGTATCACATAAATTATTTAGGGACCTTTCTAGGTCCCTTTTCACATTGTTACTAGCGGAAGCTGTCAAAATTGACATTATGTAGATGTTTGCTGTTAATGCCTACAGGAAACATCTGTTTATGTTAAGTACATTTTTTTTTAACCCCTGACTCTAAATCTGTGACTTCCTGTGGGAGCCAGGGATTCTTATGAGTTCTGTATTAGAACCATTTATGTCTTTATATAGTTCCAATCATAGAAATGGGGCTCCGGGGTACATGAACATATTTGTATGGGGAGCACTTTCGAATAATGGCAAGCCTCAAACAATCACACGTAGACGTTATAGTATGGCAGTATTGTAACTACGCATTATGCCAAGTATCTATACTTGCTTTTAATGGAGAGATTACATAGGATGGAAAAAATTGAGTGTTTCTGTACAGTCAAACTACATCCTGCATATACTTGTCCTAGCACTCTAAAGGCCTATGACTGAAGACAACAGGACAAAATTAGGGAGATATGGGTGTTGAAAACCATTCCTACTTCTCCCCTTGCTCCAGCTGCTTCATTTGCGTATGAATAGTATAATAACTTTGCTCATTTTGTGCAGTATGTTTCCATTAACACAGCCAAAGATCATATTAACTTTTTTCACCAAGTCACATTGTTGACTCACATTTAATTTCCATCACATTAAAATTCTCATGTCTTTTTCACTTGAAGTGAAGTCTAGGGACATCTCCTCCATCATCTCCTTATGAAGTTGAACTTTTGAACTATGATGTGAGACTGTATTTTTAACCCTAATAAATTTTATATTATTAGCTTTGTTCTTCTATACAGTCAGGCAATAAGCATTTAATAAATGACTGTCATGTGCCAGACACTGTGCAAAGTATGGGGATACAAAGAAAGGAAAAAGACAGTCCCTGCTCTCAAGGAATTCATAGACTAATTGAGGAGACAGAATGAAAATAAATATGAACAAAAAAGTTATGAACAGGATAAATCAACAGAAGGAAGTCACTAGCACCAAGAAGGATCAGGAGAGGCTTCTTATAGAAGGTAAAATTTTATTTGGGTATTGAAGAGAACCAGGAGAGAGAGGGAAGGGAGAGAATTCCAAGCATGGAGGACAGCCACTAAAAACACCAGAGTTGATAGATGGATTGTCTTGTCAGTGTCAGAACAATAAGGAGGTCAGTGTCACTGGATATTAGAGTACATGAGGGTGAGTAAGATGTAAGAAGAACAGAAAGATTAGGAGTGAGGCAGGTAATAAAAGGTTCTGAATGCCAAACAGGATTTTATATTTGACCCTGTAGTTGATAGGGAGCCATCAGAGTTTATTGGGCAGGAGTGACATGGTCAGGGCTGTGCTTAAAGATCACTTTGACAGCTGAATGGAGAATGGACTGGAGTAAAGAGACTTGTGTCAGGGAGATCAAGAAACAGGCTATTGCAATAATTCAAAAGTGATGTGATGAGGCCCTGCACCAAGATTATAGAATTATCAGAGGAGAGAAGGTGGTATATACAACAAATGTTTTAAGGATACAAATCAAGAGGACATGGCAACATATTGACATGGGGGTGGGTGGATGAAAGGGTAAGGAGTGACGATCACACATAGGTCTTGACCCTGGGTGACTGGGAGGATAGTGGTGATAGTAATAAGGAAGTTAGCAAAACGGGAAGATTTGAGGAAAGAAGAGGGAGATAATGAATACTGTTTTGGACCTGTTGAGTTTAACATATCTTTGTGATACCTAGTTTACAATGTCCAGTAGGTGGTAGGAGATGTGAGATTGGAAATCAGAAGAGAGTTTAGAGCTGGATAAGTAGATTTGAGAGTCATTAGCAAAGATGATAATTAAATCATGGGAGATAATGAGATCACCAAATGAAATAATAGAAAGGAAAAAGAGACCTAGCCCTGAGGGACACTGATGTTTAATAGGTGTGACCTGATTGAAGATTTAGCAAAGGAAACTGACAAATAAGATGAGAACCAAGAAACAGTAGTGTCTTAAAAACCTAGAGAGAGATTCTCAAGAAGAGGGTGATTGACAGTGTCAAATGCTATGGAAAGGTCAAGAAGGAAGAGGATTGAGAAAAGGCCATTAGATTTGTTAATTAAGAGATCACTGGTAA